GTGTTGAGCTGGAGATATCAGGTTGCTGGAAGTAAGGTGATCCGGGATATCTCGCTTCAGAACGCGTTCCATCACCTTCCACGGCACGCTAGGCTTATAGGCCTGTTGCTGCCAGGCGATAGTCGGTCACCAGTTTTGTAGATTTGCGTGACAATTGCTTCCTTCCAAGCAGAGGGAAGGCGGTCTTCGTCAAGCGACTGACGAAACACCGGGTGTAGATGATTTGCCATTGTGGACGACGTTCCCTTCATGATCCTTGTATGGACCTCGTTGGGCCCCAACGCTCAGAATGGGTTGATCTGGTGCAACAGTTGACGAATATTCACCGTTGGAGGCTATCCGTGGTTACGCCTTGAGAAGAGTGGATGTGACGAGGACGCTGGGGCTGAGTATAGACGCGCATAGTGCTTTGTGTAAACCTCAGATAGTTTAGTCACTCGTCGTTTCTCCGTTCCTGTCCCTCAGGGAGAACGCGGATTGTTTCTTTCTCCAGCGACGTCTCATGAATTTGAACAATACGCAAACGTTTTTTCGAGTGAGGTCCAGGATGGTGGCTTCTTTTCGTACGTTCCACTGGCGGATTTCTGATTTGGAGCGGTTCCGCGTTTTACGAAATGGCAGCTCATCTTCCGAATCCCCTGTTAGTGAAGACCGAATCCAGGAGGAATGGTAGTTGATCTGCGGGATATCTGGTAGGTGCAGCTACATGTTGAGTCCAAGCGTTCTGTTGAACGACTTCAATCAGCACCACTGCAAAAATTCCGCTTGATTCGACGTGCTGGAGCTCCATCCAGGAGGCTTTTGGACCATTGAAGTCATCTGCTACTAGATGAGTGAAGTTGTAGTTGGAGGAGAGTTGCTTAGGAGTTCGTTTAAGGAACTGGCCAGCTTCAGTTAGACTCGAGAGGCTACGGTAGACCACGCCGAGATTGAGATAATCGGACCCGCACAGCCGGAGTTTGACCCACAGTGCATTGCCGAAAGGTGCAGGAGTGGTATCAGAGATGACAATCGGGATCGGTATGACTGAATGTAAGTACAGGGCAACCCCACCAGTCCTCCCTCGTTTTGAGTCAGCTCGAAGAATATAGTAACCGTCTATCGAGATCTCCGCGTCAGAGACATCTGGTGTGAGCCAAGTTTCTCTAAGTGCGATTATAGGCGGTAGTTCAAGGCAAGCTGACTGTTTAACATCGCCCAGTTTGTTGAAAGGGTTGAGGCGGTTTGCGGACAAGCAGTTCAACACCACCCCTGCTGCCTCCGAGGGCGAGGAGCCGACGTTGAGTGACCAGGGAGGTTGGCAGACTTATTAGTTGTGCGCCGGGTTTGATTCCAAGGCTCCATAGGGGCCTCTGGTGCAATGTCGCCTGATTCATGTCTTCCTGGTTTCTGAGGATGCTTTTCACTTGCAAGGTTTTTTTCGTTTCGTGAGATGCCGGTTTGCCCGGGCACTTTTAGCTTTGGGGAACGGAGTTTTTTCACCCGTGGGCAAACATTTAGAACGTTGCTGTTTGTAGCTCTTTCAGCATCCCCTTTTCGTCGACCAGATTTGCTGTTTGTGGCGCTCCCAAGAGGCCCGTTTACGCAGAGCATCGCACCTTGAAGCCAGCCAGCAGTTTTATAATCTGACGAATCTTATGTGGCTTGTTTGGCTGTAGTCGCTCTTCTCCCGTGTTTGTGTCGACGCCCGATCCGTCGGCGCCCAGCGTGGCCAACTGGATGTACGAGGGATTTTCCGGATGGCTGTAGTCACGTTTATGGCTTTGGTTGTCGGGGTCCTGGGGGCCGGTTGTGTCCACAAACAGAGAGGCTGCTTTTAACCCAGTGGAGCTGTAGATTGGCTTCGCTGCTTGTCCCCGCACATCTGACTCAGTCCAGTTCAGAAGCTGTGGTTTTGGTGAGGAATACATGTTTGCACCTATGTCGCCCGTTACGGAGATAAGCGTTGATAGCTCCACGTACTTTAAACGCTGCTTGCATGTGGGATTTGCCTCCTCCGGGGCGTCCCTGCCTTTGGTGGGCGAGAGGCCTGTGGTGGTCGAATAAAAACTGCTGTCCGGAGAAGCAGCTGGTTTCTTTAGCCTGCTTTCGGGAGCGCAGGGCAATATGACCACAATCTGCCTGGTCATGAATTTGGGGTCAGCTGAATTGGTGCCCGGTGGAAGCCTGTTTTTGTGCCTCCACCCCTGACCTGTTGTGACCCAGCTTTCGCGCGTCTAGATGGGGATATTCAGATAGACGCCTGATCATTTGGTTGGCCTTCTGAATGCTACCAGCCCGCTCCAAGATCTCCCTTACGTCGGACGGGGAAGAAAGAGTTACTAGAATTTCAAGAGTTCGCTTACTTCCCTTCTGGCGTAGCCATTCTGCGTGGAGCGATTTATCAAGCTTGCTGAGGATCGACTGTGCCAGCTTCACTGGCGTGATTTTTCCGGATAATGACGCCCAGTTTATCAGTCTGTTTACCCTTAGGCGCCTGTCCAGTAGAGACCCTGTGGCGGTTTTTATAGCCGCGTGAGAAAGTTGTATGACTTTCTTCGCAGCCATGGGGCCTGGTATGGATATCGCGAGGTACGCGTTCAGCGAAGAAAGTTCCTTGTCAACTTTTGTCCAAGTCGCTGCATTTTTAGTGTCTGAGTCCTCCAGTACCTTTGAAAGACACTTCAATTTCGCGTCGAGTATCCCGATCAAAGTGGATCACTGACATCGGTCTTTCTGAATCTGCAGCGGGGATTGGGTACCGTTTTTAATTGTTAACTGTTAATTGCCAAAAGTTTCGTCGTAACTACGGACTGATCGATTCTGATCAATTCTCACATTTTGCTTATATTTGTCGTCATCACATGTTCAGCCACCAGATTGCATCGTGCTAAGCCCCTATTGATTTATCATCGTTCCACTCACGTGTGACTCCTACTGGTCGTTGCATTTCGTTAGTTGTCTACCCGATCATGCATAACTGTTGTTCCCTATTGGTTATTCGGTGAAGAGCAAGTCCCAGCCAATTCCTGCCATTTTCCGAGGTATATAACCGCATTATTTAGCGACAAAAAAGACCTGTTCCTGTGCTCGACTTTGGCTTCTTCCTTACGCAAGTTGATGGGTTACCTCCGGACGACACAACAACCTTGGCGACGGGGATGGGATCCGAAACCATTGGGGTTTCCCCTCGTGGGTTCACATTGACTTTGCCGGACCAATCTATGGAGCATGGACGACACAACAGGAGGCTTTCCTCTTGCCTGCCGTAAGCATTGCACCCTTAACGTAGAGGCAGCTGGTGCAGACAAACGGGTCAGGAGAGTTAGCTAATCGGCTTATCTCGTCGTCCTTTAAACTCAAGCACTTGAAGTGCCACCAGGCCTTGCAGGCATGGCATTGCATACCGCGTTTTACGTTCGACGGGCAGCGATTTCGCCCACGTCTTTTGTTGTCTGTCGATGGCAGCGTCGGGCAGTCGTTATAAACTGATGTCATGTTTAAGACTAGATGCAAAATAGGAAGAGTGCGCAAAATAACAAGGGTTATCTCTCAAGTGTTTTGTTAGAGTAATAAAATTCAACAATGACTCGTGCGTACTCTGTGAACAGATTGAACAAAGAAAAACTTCTTTAACAAATTTGCACGGGGCTGTCCAGAAACCGAAGTACTTCAGTGCAGTGATGGTACGGCGCTGGAATACCTGGTTTGATAGCATACCCGCAATTGTTCCCCTCTTACTTCATCCAGGCCATGAAGCCCTAGTGACTGTTCCGGGCTTTAGTTCAAACCGGCCTGCCAATTCGTGGCAGCTCTACTGCATCTCCATATCATTTATTCCGGCTCAACACTTCCTGTCGTTTGAATTTTTTTGTTTTTGTCACGTTCCAGTCGGGAAGCTCTTTGTTATGCCCTCACTTGTATTGTTTTCTTTGCCCGCCACTTTTAAACCCTAACGTTCAGATCTCGTGCCATCTGATGTGTTCTCCATAGGGCACAAACAGACTCTGTAATTTTGGATCCCTACCCATGCCACCTCAGGTGGGATGAACTCTACTTCATTAATGTTTACTGTTTACGTCAGTGTCAATTTTCCAGGAAAATCCCATTAATCACAAACCCCACCGGTCATACCTTTATTCTGACTGTAATACTATGATCATGCCCGAAGGTATGCTACTCACTAGTTGGGAATAAATATTATTATTATTATTAAAACCGATTTCAAACGTACGACGATCTAAAATTTTTATTTCTATTTTCATGACACATAGCCCCAGTAAAGTGGCTATTCAGGTAGCCAGACCACCATGATATACAGAGTAGATTGGACAGGGTAGTAAAAGTTATTCAACGCGGAGCGGAACACTTGAGAATAAGTTCTTAGTCATGTAAATAAGCTCTGATGAATGCGGAAGATTCCAGGAGATACGTGCTATAATCGCTTTCATACGATGAATGAAAAATGATGGGAGGGATAAAATCTCAGTAATCAGACAGATCTATGGTGCTGCTATCCAACTATTGTCACAAAAGCTTTAGAACGAAATATAGTAAATGTTATATGGATACTGGTTTGCGTTTTGCCGGGTGCATTTTTCACAGTTTTCCGTGCATCTTTACTTAACCTATTTAACCGAAATCAGAAAGGTGACCGCCCACCGCCATTTGTAATGGGGAAACGAGACGCCAATTCTCCCGACAAACTCACCACTGCATTGATTGAGGCAGATATGACGCACGTGTAGAAACCGGTTTACATTGAACAGCCACTGTTTGCTCATCGAAAAATATATAATTGACAGCTGTTTGTAGATTTTTGCGGATGCAAGAGCGCGAAAAGCTGCTTGTTGAACGATCAGCCATTATAAAGATCACCACGCCATTCACAGGGCTGACATCGGGTAACGTTGTCCGGAGCTAGCGCATAGTTAAATGTCAGTTCCTAGACTTTCGAAACCCTGCGGGTACACCTTGGCAAACGCGAGCCAGCGCTAGTCTTCAATCTCATTTATATGAAGGGTTCGTTGTCTTCGCTGGTGATTCCAAAACAGACAATGAAACCACAACTCATGCTGGCGTATGCCAGCAAGGCCGCGTGAATGGCACGTAAGAAGAGTGTTGATAGTGGAGGCCGGATATTCTTAGTGCAAATTGGTGAACTGGAGTGCACATTTATTCGAGAATACAACCAACTAGGATCAATAGCAAACATATCGCTGTTAAATATCGTAATAACGGGCATCCCGGAGGAAGATCCACCAGCACCCCGCAGGTAAATTATTGCCACAAAGTAAGAGAAAGATACAGTATGCAACAAAACTTGAGACCCAACGTCAAACAAGGATGCCGCTTCCAAGTTTTGGTCACGGATTCACGGATTGATACACAGGATCGAGGCTTTGCCCAAGTTTCCCGGGTCGGTTTTGTTCTTGTCGGTCAGTGGCTGTCGTTCACCTGAAAGGCACAAGTGAAAAAAGGGTGTAGCGCTGCTCTTTATGTTCTCAACGCGGGGCAGTGTGCTTGCCAGCGCGAGAATTCACATTAATAAATGTCTAATAGTGCTTTAAACTGGATTTTAGAAGGAGCGTGGACAACCGTCGGAGAAAGGCCATTCCACGCAGCTACTGTCCGAAATGAGAAGAAAATTTGTCTAATGAATGTGTGTGCTCTGAGCTTGAAAATTTTCTTACTATGTCCCCGCGTGTGTTTGCTGGGTCAACGGTGGAAAGCCTGTTTGCCAAGCTTTGTTCAAACAGGGCATAAGTAAGAATTAGGTTTCCTCGGAGGCGACGGTACTCCAGGGAAAAGAGATCAAGCGCCGCGAGACGCGTTTCGTAGTTCACGGATTTGAGGCCGGTAACCATTCTCGTAGCGGCCCGCTGGACGCGCTCAATGAGGGTGACGTCCTTCGTGCGTCCTGAGTAGACAACTTGGTTGGCGTACTCCAGGAGCGGTCTGACGTAGGCAACATAGAGCATTTGGAAGTCCATGCGAGTAATACGAAAGAAGGTGCGTCGGATCATCCGTAAAATTGCGAATGCCTTTTGGGCCGATTTCTCACGGTTCAGTGAGAAGGATAAGTTTGCGGAGACCCAGATGCCCAAATCCTTTTTGGCATCTATCCTCATGATGTTTTCTTGTCCCTTTTCATCATGCATAACAAAGGCATTCGCTGAATCCCCTCCGAACGACATATGGACGCACTTTTCGTCATTCAGAGGAAGGCGCCAGTCCAACGACCACTGCTTGGCAGCGTCTGCATCCATTTGGAGGGCACTGGCATTGGATCTCCAGGATTTCAACTCGTCCGCAAAGAGTAGACATGGACTCGCAAGAACGTCTCGCAGGTCGTTGGCGTGGATCGGAAACAGGAGCGGTCCCAAGACGGAGCCTTGAGGAACTCCAATGGAGACCGGCGCTGGAGAAGAGTAGGTCGAGCCTATTCTCACTCGGAATGATCTGTCTGATAGGAACGCCTTGATCCAGTGAGGAATTTTCCCTTGATTTCCGTAAGACTCGAGTTTGTGGAGCAGCGGGACTTGTGGGACCCTATCAATCGCTTTGGAGAATTCGAAAACCATGGTATGCGATATGGTCAGATCGCGCCATACTTGATTTGCTCCTCACACATTGTGAAATAAGCCGGGTATTGCTATTAATACGCAAGGTACCGACTGCGAAACTCTGAATTTTTAGCGACAAAACGTAACCAATCCTTGCGGCGAGGAAAATAGGATATATTTGATTCTGAGTAGACGAAAGGCGCTTTGCGGGGGAAAAGAACTTGAAATGGCAAAAAGAAAACTTACCATGATTGTTCGTGATTCAATATATACATACATCTTCCCAGAATCCCTTCGCAATTAATTTTGTCAGGAAACCTTGCGACGTGTTGACTGTCGACAAACACTGCAAGTTTATATGCGGCCTAATAAGTGCGGCGGATAATAACTTTCTTCCCGGAGCTCCTACCTCTACCCCAATCTGACTTTCGGTTCACACATGTTTTACCAACAAGCAGGGAGCTCGTGGTTCTTCCGTTCCATACGCTGAATTTTATGTTGCGGATGGTACATTCATTGTGGCTCAACAGATGTTCAAGACTCCTCTCCTCTGTTTCCGGCTCCTCGTCTTTCCGCATTTTTATCAACAGTCTTGAACTTCGAATGCCATTCGTACGTTTTGTCATGTGTGCCTAATATACGGGCGTAATTTCATCGACAATTGTGAAACGAGACCTGCATAACTGTTAGAAAACTAGAGGCACGTTAGATGAAAGCTTCGCGGAAGGGATGTAATTTTCATCTCCGCGACTCTTTTTCACAGCATTGCCTAGAACCGACTGACAGTTTGTCTATGACGACATGTAAAGCGTGCTTATAACCTTCGGGGAGGACCCATGGCCAGTTCATATAATCTACCTCTCAACCATCTATCCTGCTGTCAGGTTTCGAGCCGACGATAAAACTCGCCTGAAAATCACCAGTTCCTCTACACGAAAGCTGCCGAAAGTGTGGACTTTCTCCCTAAAAATCAAGAGCTAAATGCGCACACGGATGCGGCCGCAGCAATGATCTAATGAGCACGTTCAAGGCACTGAATGCGAACTTCACTCCACATTTGCCTGATGTCACATTTGCTTTGCATTTTAAAAGAGACGACAGCCCTGCAGTCCATTTCAACAATTTTAAGCACTCATACCCACCCATGGATTTATTCGCCCTTTGGGGCTACGTTCTTGGGTACTACTTGTGAACCATGGTGCTTGCGTTTGTAAACTGAAATTCTGTGATTTTCGGCAAACGGCTTCAGCCAGGAAGGCCTCCGCTTGTCAGCCATCCAGCATTTGCTGTGGCGCCCACCGTTTCAGACTCCCTTCATGCTATTTCTTCATGCTCGTCGTATATGCTTTGGCCCTTTCAAACTCATCTTTCATGCTGATGTATTGTTTGCCATTGTTACTTTCGCAATGATGCACTCAGTGTTCGAACACACAGGCAACTTAGTTGGCCAACACGGTGCAACACAACTGTCTCCGACGATCAGGGTCTAAGTTGGCGTCATAAGGTGTGCGCTATCCTACTACCCCAGAGACGAATAAACCTCGACTCATATAAATATGACGCCACAATGCTACGAATCCCGTCAGTGTCCCCTAACCATCGATGAACTATGACTTTCAAATGAACATTCGCTCATTCTGCCTTGATTCACATCTGCATTCGTCCCATCTGGTCAGACGTCTTGTAACTTGGGCCCGACCACATAATCGACAACTCTCCCATCAACTGCATACCTTCATCATAGAGACCATCCCAACTCCACGCCCAACCATATATACCACATTGAGTCTGGTTCACACCTTCGTCCTCTCCATCCACTGTATTACTCAGTGACAAGTGTATCCAGAGTGACTTGACTAAATTATTAGGTAACCACTTTGATGCACCACCGCTCATATAACAATAATCCATGATGTTAAAACACACAAAGGGAAATTTTAACAGCTTTCCGGTTGGAACAACTGGCTCACAAGTTTTGAAAAGTTGCAGAGAATACTGTAAAAGAAACATCTTTTGCCGAACGCCCGTGCCGCCGATATTTCCTTGTCAGGGATTTTAGCAAACATCCCTGGAAATCCCGCTATGAATCCAGAAATTCGACTTTAGCTGAGTGTTGAGTACTACCTTGTATGTAAGTTGCTGGAGACTAACAAAATGCACCCGGTGTAGTGTATCCGACGTAACTCTAAATTACTCGTCGTCCTTTTTACAGCCTGCTATTTCAGCCTGCAAATATACAAGTTTATCCCGTGGAGGAATCAAGGAGAGGCCCTGCAGTGCACCTACTTACTGTGACGAGTCCTTTGGGTTTGTCCGGGGAGACGCTTGTAGCGGGGCCCAGTATTCGCCAAATGGAATTGAATTTTCGAAAGCTGTGAGGTGTCCCTGAGGGAAAAGAGCGATCAAGCGATTGTGTTCAGGGGACCAGTTTAATCTTTTGGACCCTATTTAGACATCCCGGGGTCTCATCAATGCTGGGATATTATTCCACCAGAGTTATGAGTGCCTCAGTGGGCATCTACACGAAATGGTTGGTTTTCGGTTCGTTGGCATCTTTTAAATTGCTTACCGAAATCCATTATTATGTCCGGAAAAACTATGGAACAGATGGGAGAGGGAGGAATGTTGGGGTAGTGCGCGATAAATCTCCCCACATGTATGATAACGTTTGCGGTCCACAGGCCAACCGACAGAGCTTGCGCATATTTGAACCCATGGAAGAGTCTGGTTGAAATATATGTTGTTTTAATGTCTCCTCGTTTACTCCGGGGCGGCCGCGCGGTTTAATTGCAAAAAACGGTGACGCTGTGCAAACTTCTTCAAATAGTCAGTGTGAAAGAGGCCGGTATAACGTATGCGACAAGTATCATGAGTTTAAATTCTATGCCGCCGACATCGGAAGCCACCACAAAAAATGCTGCTCCTACCCCATCCAGCATTGGATGCCTGACCTGAGTGTCTGGTGTAAGGAGGTCTGGAAGCATACTGTCACCCCTGATAACGAAACAACTGAAAGGATGACTGATCGTACAAGAACAGAGAATAGGCAAACTTCTCTGGAATAGTAGCGGACAAAATTGTTGATCAATTTCCCACGAAGGACACACCAGTAGCTACGTCATCCTCAATCAGAGTTAAGGTGGTCACTGAAAAATCACAACACACAGTTATGCGGGTCCCCGTACCGAACGGATGCAAATCGAATGCTAGGGGGCCTTGGAAGTGCGCATCTTTGTGTATTGGTCCACTTGGTGTCTACCATCCAAAGGTCTGTTCACATACAGTCTATCGACGGAGAATAAAACCACTTAGAATCAGAGTAATAATAGCCAACCGTACGTTGTCCAGAATGCGCACTTATATCAAAGGGATCACGCCCACTAATCAACATTTTTTCAAACACTATGTTTACATCAATGGTGGATGTCAATACAAAATAAAATCAAACGTTACCAAACAGCTAGATATAAAATATTCTCTGCGAATTATAAGCTAGAAAATTAGTTCTCAGTTTACTTTCTCATCTTTTACAACT